TAGCTGAGACAACAACTTGCGTTGGAGGCTCGCAGAGAGTCCGAAATTTAATTTCGGGAGGAAAGGATCTGTAAACAATATAGTCGAGTTAGTAAAAACCTGCCTTACAATAGCCTGCCGGAAGGTGAATGTCAGATCAAAGGAGAACTGAAAAGATGTCCTTTCATATTTTTTTCCTAAATCAGCCATGGAAACTTCATGACTCCATAAAACATGTGCTGCTCTGCTAGGGAAACAGCCTCCAGTTTCTTCCCCCACCACCCTCGCTGCTTATCTCCTGTACTTTGGTTTTGGGGGTTGGTTTTGTTGTTTTTTTTTTTTTTTTCTTTTTGAATCCATAATACCCGAGCCATGTAGTGCTTTACTCATATCGCACACAAATGGCTTTGCTTATAACTTTCCACCTCTCTTCCCAAACAGGAACAAAGTCAGGAAACGAGGCACAAGACTCCTCTTGTAATGAGGAAAAGAAAACGACTTTACAGAAACATCCTGGAAAAGTCAAGTAAGTTAAAATATGTCTTTTTTTAAAGTTCAAGGAAACCTCTTTTTTTTTTCAGCTTAGTGTTTAACATACTTGCATACACACAAATCAGAGACACAACTCCTCACCAGCATCGGTGTAATCCTGCTCAATGTCTATTCATTTGGAGGTTCTAGAATTAATATTTGACGACTCTCTCATTGAAACAACAACCCCTGACCCCATGTGATTGCACTGTCACATTATTCTATGACATATTCATCTTGAATTCATTTACGGACGATTTGATTGGAATGAGGTTTGTCATGTATTGGATCCTATTAAAGAAGAAGACTTTGATCTTGTTGATGGGGTTTACATGATATGTATCATCTTTACCAGGGATACCAGGCTTCCACAATGTGGTATCTAAGTAGTTAGTGACTGACAGTTTATCTGACAGGAATACCATAATCTTGAGGTACTGAATGAAATATTCTATTTAAAATAAGTGTATTATTTGCCTGTCCTAGGGTAGCTCTAGGTCACAAAAAGCGAGAGGCAAACCCAGTAACAAGCCATTGCTCGTCTGGTAGCTGAGTTTCCATTATCCGGGAACCCTGAAATGTAAGTGGGAATGGGGCAAGGGAGCAGAAACAAAAGCAGAGTGTGCTCCAGAGCCACTAGGTCCCATCTCCAAAGAGGTGCTGGGGTCACCGAAAGTTTTCTTGAACACCCTGTTACTAACCAGCAGTGCTGAGGCAGGCAGTGATTCAGGCTCGGGTCCTGTGCCTGTCACTGTGTCACTCGCTGCCTCCCTCACCCCTTCTGCCCAGTGCCAGTTTGGGGGATAGGGAATGACACAGGGTGACTTGTCGGCATCCTCTGTTTTTATTCCTCGTTTTTTCCCCCTTTCTCACAGTAAATATTAGGATTTCCAGATTAAGCCGTTGCCCTCCTCTCATCCGGGAGTTGAAGTTTAAAGGTAACTCCTGGAACATGCTGTCTGGAGGGTTCAGGCCTCCTATCCCAGCCCTCGGGCACCTTTGGGAAGTTTCTAGCTGGCTCACTGGGAAGGGAAATTTCCACAGAGGCAGGAGCAGAAGGGCATTGGAGTGGGTGTAGGTCAGGTTTTGCTCACTCTGATGCTTCCCTGGACAGGAGCTATTCCTTGTGCTGAGCACGACTCTCAGTAAGCAGGATTTGCTCCCAACTCAACGAGCACAGCACTTTGTTTTCTGGGGTTTTTCATCATACCTTCATAGCAAGCCCTTACTTCTGTAAGCTTTGCTGCGTAGATAGATTCCTAAAAAAGAAAAAAAAAAAAGAAAGAAAGAAAAAAAACCAATGCAAAGTGTGGTGGGTCTGTAAAACCGTCAGGCAACCGGGGCTGCCCGCAATCCCAAAGGCTGTGTGGCTCGGTTTTCAGTCCGTAGGCCTTGGCAGCCCGGCTCAGGCAGGGATGCAGGCAGCGGCTGGAGCTTTGGGGCTGCCCAGCTCGGCCCCTCGCCCAAGGGGTGGGCAGGAGAAGCTCTGGGTTCCGCACGGCGGCGCAGTAAGCAGGAAGGCAGCTCAGCCCCCGTCCTGGGTCACAGCCCCTCTGTGCGGGGCTCCCGCCTTCTCCCGACGCTGCCGCGGCCAACTCGCCTCCTCCTCGAGGGAGCCGGGTCTGACGGGGGCAGAGAGGAAGAAAGGTGCTTGTGACCCGTCTTTGCAACATGTCATCCCTGCAGAGCAGCCCTCCAGCACGGGCAGGCTTTGGGGCTGTGGGCTGCCGTCGGGGTCGCACAAACACAGGCACTGGAAAATTCGGGCTCAGGATCAAACTGCTCACCTGTTCGTGTTGATTTGTCACTCAGAAGAGCACTGTGGTCCCTCTAAACTTCACTTCGCTTAAGATAAGATATCTACCCTTTAAATCTTAGAAAAATACTGTCCTTTGGACCTGCCCTGACGTCCGAATTTCAGCTTCAGTTAATGATGTTTCTGTTCTGCTGTATGAGAAACCTTGTTTTCTCCCCAGAAAGGCTTAGGATTCATCCAGCCCATGAGTCCCAAGGGTAGTCTAGAAGGGGTTGCCCTCACCATAGTCAGATGGGTTGGAAGGGTAGTAATAGTAGTGGTAATAATAATAATACCAACAACAACAACAAAAAAAAAACCACACACACACACACAAAAACAAAAAACCAAACCAACCCCTGTCCCTGCACAAGCTGATGTTGATTTGAGAGTCTGGCTAGAACCCGACTCATCTGGTCAAACATGGCTCAGGCAGCTGTCAAGAAGTGGGAGACCTCGGTCACCCCTCGGGTGGCAGCCGTACAAGCTCCAGCTGCCGGAGGGCTGCGCCAATATGTATTTAAGTTTTCCAGACGCTCTGAGAGGTGCACGGGTCTGGCTCCACTCTCCTCCTCTTCCCCATTTCTCCGCCTCCCACAGTCATGTGGTGGCCCCAGCCCTCCCCGCTCCCCCCGCCCGCAACCAAGGCTCACACCAACTTCACCTAACAGTGAGGGACACCGAGGGCCAGGTTCGCCTGCATTGCCTGGGAAAAGGAACGAGAGAGAGCCCTGAGGGGCGAGCTAAGAACCATGAGTGTCTGACGAGAAACCATCACAGTATTTAAAATGAGCTTAGGGCAATCCGGTTATGACATTTTTTTTAATTGATAAACTGTTCCAGGTGTTTTCTCCCTTGACTGAGAAATGTCAGAATTGATGGATAACAAGTATGTAGAGATGCAGTGTTTTAAGGAGGTATGAGCAAAGCAGCTTTATTTGGAATTCACACTCTCAGTACATTTGTAAGTAACAGATTCGTACTTCCTAACGTTTGTCTCTTCTGTGCACTCCTGTTGAGATGGTCATGAATAGGACTGTCAAATCCATTTCGTAGAGCAAGTAGACTTGAGGGTTGAGATATTGTGAGGATGGTGTGTGGTTTAAAATGCCTGTGTAAACATGTTATGTAAGGATGGAGAACTAATTTCATCATTTGTCGCTTTTCATCATCTCCACTCAGAAGGATGTACACAAGGATGTATCGATAGCTAGTTGCCTAAGTATCAGCCTTGTGTTACAGGGGAAATATGGTGAAAGCCAAGCAGTCAAATTATGTGACTGTAGCCAGCCCAGAGTATGCAAAGCTGTGACAGAAACTTCCCCTCTGTGGTTATGGATGTCCTACACTTTAATCTTATGGTTTCCAATCATTGGCTGGTGGCTTCTGCTATGAGAATGGCTGGGTTGACGTTGCTGGGCAGTTTCTTGGCTTACTACTGAACATAAAGCTTATCAATTGCTGGTATTATTAGATTTTCATGGAGATGCAAAATTCCGTGCTGGGAGTTTTACCTGGAGTGCATGTGGGAAAGTATCCACTGGCAAATTAACAGATGAGAGTTTGACACGATGAACAGAGAATTAATTGTTGGTTTATTTCATAAGACTGTGCGTTTACTGATGAAGTCGTTCTCATGTCAGGATCCAAGTTCTGTAGATCTGTGTTGTTCTGTGGTGGGCAGATCTTTACAGCTGTGTTTTTCTTTCTTGAAGCAGAAGAATCTTTTCCTATGTTTCATTTACTTTCTTTAAATTCACAATTCCCTTCTGAAAGACTTGTGCAGATGCGTACTTCCGTGCTGAAGCCCTAAGCTTTTGTAAACTTATGAGGCCTCAGTGTATAAAGCTGAAACCCCAACCTACACTTACACCACTAGCAAAGTAAACCCTGCAGCCCATGTTGTTTCCTTCAGGTGAGAAGCATAAGAAGTGAGTCGGTTATGAATGTTTGCAGTGCTTTTCCTTCAAGCCAAGGATGGGGATTTTATATGGAACTACTCTGTAAGTGTGTCCAAGAGAGAGGGAAAGGGAGAGAGATTCCTTCTTCCAGATTAAGCTCTTAGATTCAGCCTGTGCACCACGATTTCTTGCATCACTACTGCGGCCAGTAAGCAGATAACTGCTAAAACTTGTCAGAGTAGGAGAGGGGACAGAAAGTCTTCCAGGAACCCTTTTTCAGGGCTCAGGCACCGCTACGGAGGCCCGAGCACAAGGCCAAACGCAGATGCGTCGCAAATAAGCTGGTGGAGCGGCTCCAGCTCTGCTTTTGCGGGGAAAGATCGGCTCCCAGCCCTGTCAACAAGTGTCGGGGACCCGCCGCCGGGCCTGGGCCCGCGTCACGGTGGCACGGGGCCGCTTCGCTTCCCATTGCTCCGGCCGGGCTGCGAGTACCGGCAGACATGCGTGGGTTCTGCCGGGGGAGACCCCACGGGCTGCCCCCGAATCGGGGCAGAGCAGCGGGAACAGACAAAGGCCAGGGTGGGAGGCCGGAGCTCTGCCCCTCTAGTCATCCCTGCCCGCTTTGCCTTTGTCTGTCCAGTCTGGCGGCGGAAGCTCGGCAATGGCCCGGCTACAGGGAGCAGCGCTGCAAGACCCCAGTTAGGGCCTCCCGCCGCCGGGCCTCGGACCGGGCGCAAAGGCCGCGCAGGGCGGGGGTTGAAGGGAACGCACACCGGGGGAAGCGGAGGACCGGGGGAAGGGGACGACCGGAGGCAGCGCATGCGCAGTCCCTGCCCCTCCCAAAGCCACCCCCCGTGCCGCACCGAGCGATAACCCTTTCAGTCAGAGGCAGGACCTGTCATCGGTGACGTCACCCTGGCGGCAGCCAATGGGAACTCTTGGCAATTGTTTGGCCGGCGGGGCCGGCGCCGCGACCCGGAGGCGGTGCGTGGCCGCCGGCCTCCCGTCCCGTCCCGTCTCGTCCCGTCCCGTCCCGCGGCCGCGCAGCGAGGGGCTCCCCCCCGACCCCGCGGGAGGACGGGCCGCTCGGCGGGACCTCCCCGGCAAGCCACCGCCAAAAGCGAGTCCCCGCCGTCCCCATCGAGCCCACCCGCTGGCAGCGCCGACTGTGCGCCCCGCCGCTGGAGCTGCGGGACTGCGAAACTTTTCTAAGGGAGAAAGAAAAAAAACCAAAACAATCGTTTTCCCCCCTTCTCCGTGTTGCTCTACTCCCGCTGTCAGGTGACTTTTTAGCGTTAGAAACTAATGAGCGTGGATGCTCGGGGGATCCCAGTGATGAACCCTACTGCTCTCTCCAGGCGGAACACGGCGCTGAGATTAGTAGACTTGGCGGGGTCTCCTCGCCAGCACCACCATCACCACCCCCCTCAGAGCATGACAGGCTTCCAGGGCTTCGCCGGGCACCCCCACACCACGGCACCCACGCAGCCGGGGGAGCACGCCGCCGAGTCCCGCCTCGGGCCGCACCCGCTCCGGCCAGAACACATGGGGCACCATCCTCCTCCTCATCCTCCTCCTCAGCATCACCCCGCGGCCCTTAAGCTCAGCCCTGCCCCTCATCCCCACCACCAGCTCCACCACCACCACCACCACCATCATCATCATCATCATCATCATATGGCAGGCCAAGCCGAGGTGGTCTCTAGTCAAACGGCAGCGTTTGGCCCGGCGCAGTCACCAGCAACCCCTTACCCCGTCTCTCACCCAGCCCAGGCTCTGGCAGCAGGTAGGGACTTCTTCATCCACAGGGACCTGCCGGCCCCACTCATGCCAGGGCTGACTGAGCAGCACCCCGCTGCAAGTTCTCACCACGGACTGTTTGTCTCAACAACAGGTAGCTACCCCGGACACCATGGTCACCACCACCACCACCACTCAGAAGCTGGGAATCCCTCTCTATTCACTGGACTCCATGAGCAGCCTCCCCATGCAGCTCCAGGTGGCCATCTAAACGGACAGATAAGACTGGGGTTACCTGGAGAAATGTACGCCAGGTCTGAACATTTCACTCAAGTACCAGCTTCCAGGACAGAGCCTTTTGCTGCTTCTTCTCTTCATAGCTACGGTGGCATGAACCTGAACGTGAACCTGGCTACACACCACGGCCCGGGTGCCTTCTTTCGTTACATGAGGCAGCCCATCAAACAGGAACTCATCTGTAAGTGGATTGAGTTGGACCAGACTCCCAAAAAATTATGCTCGAAAACTTTCAGCACAATGCACGAGCTGGTGACTCATGTCACGGTGGAGCACGTTGGAGGACCCGAGCAGTCCAATCACATATGTTTCTGGGAAGAGTGTCCAAGAGAAGGGAAACCTTTCAAGGCCAAATATAAACTTGTAAATCACATCAGAGTCCACACAGGTGAAAAACCTTTCCCCTGCCCTTTCCCAGGCTGTGGTAAAGTGTTTGCCAGATCAGAGAATCTCAAAATACACAAAAGAACTCATACAGGTCAGTATGTAAAGCTCTCTTTACTCTCTCTCTCTCTGTTATTCAGCATACTGTTTTGCTTTATTTTGTTTGGTTTGGTTTGGGTTGGTTTTTTTTTTTTTTCAATGTATCCTTTGCGTTGTTGTTGACTGCAAGCCAAGTACTTCTGGAAAATAAATTCTCAGATTTGTTCGCTTCTTTGACGTTTGGAGAAGGGAAAGAAAAGTGGGGGGAAAGAAAGAGCAAGAACAAATCTCAGAATTCTCGTCCATGTTTTTTTCTGGTTGTGCGGAGAGGTTGCTGTATGTTTATGCGGATGGATCTGTGTAAATATCGAGTGATATAGCTACTATTTCTGCTTATTCACACAGGCGAGGTTTTTTTTTTTGGCAATTTAAAGTAGTTGGGAAGAAAAAATGAAATCATTGTGCAAGCTCACAAATTAAAAGTGAACAATAGAAGTTACAACTTGCCTAGTCAGTTTTGACTGATGTCGCTGAGATGCTGCTGCTCGAACATTGTGAGAATAACACAGCTGCGACCTTTTCGTTCAACAGTTTTGTTTTGGGCAGAGGGAGTTTCAAATGTTTGATCTGAATAACACTGACATTTTTAATGGGCATTGCCTTCCAACTACTCTCTGCATTTGCAAATATGGGGAGCTGCAAGTTCTGATTCTAGGGAGGGAAAAGAAAGAAAGAAAAAAAGAGGGAGAAGAAAACACAGTATTGTTTAGGCCTGTACATTTTGAAATGTCATTTGCAGATCTGTTAAGTGAAATTGGGACATGTGTCAGAAACATCTGTTAGTTCTAGTTAACAGAAAATAAAGTAACTCGATGGATGGTCTTGCAAAACTACGTTTGAACTCTCCCGGCCAGGAAAGCATTTATAATTAATGAAATTGCACATAGAAAGTTTTCACACTTCCAGGAGCAGCTTGTGAAGTTGTATTAATTAGTTTAGCAGCCGGTGTTTGTAGTCTGTAGCGCTGGCTCCTTTTTATATATTTTTCCGCCTTCTTGTTTTTGTTGTGTGGTTTGTTTTTTTTTTCCTCTGAAGAAGATAAGCAATAAGCCCTTTTTGGAAAATATAATCTGTTCTAGTGTAGGGTTTTCCACCTCCCACACTCTTCTGTACAGCCGTATGCACTGCGAGGGAAACTACATAATCCTATTGTAAGATCTGCTTACAGCCAAACGATTTTTTTCTCCTTCCAGTTCATAAAACTCCCCTTCCCCCATGCTCAGTGCAGGGTTTGACCTTCCAGGAGCTGCATTTTTATGATATAACTCGACGTGGTATAAAACGCAGAACGTATAATAATTTTGTATCGCTACCTTCTAAACATAGCCCGGAGATCTTGCAGCGACCGTCACTCGTCACCTAGTTATTTTTCCATCGCTCTATGAATAGCTCATATGTGTGCGGGGGGGGGGGGGAAGAGAGGGGCGATTGCAAAGTTGTGTCCCTCTGCTGCCTTCTCGCCCCCCTTTATCCAGGAGAAAGGGATATCCCCGGGTCACGTAAGTTGTATCCGAGCCAGCTCCTTGTATCAGCACAGGTACAGCCATTAACCGGGAGAGCTCATCCCTTAATGACAGTGTTTTTCTTAAGTAAACAAACTTTTACTGCTCTTTAACGGCCTTACTGTTTGAAGTCTCTGAAGCAGAAAATGGTTAAATTCTTGGGAAAACTGACCTACATCGGAGAGGCAGGTTCAGGGAAGACCCGAGATCGGAGGTTTTGCGTTCATTAGACATCATTCCGCGCGTCTGTACTTTTCGCTTTAACTTTCCCGGTGATTAATTACTGTATTGTGAAAACTCCTGCAGGGCCTTTATGGTTCCAACGTTTCTATTAAACACCCAGAAGTTGTCAAAAACGCAATGTTTCTGAAACCCTAATAGAACTCGCTACGAATTATTCATGAAGACAGTTCTAGATTCAACAGGAAAATTATTGCCTCCTCAAATATTAATGACTTCTGATTTCTCCGAGGCTGGGGAGCAGGCAGAGGGATTTCTGGCGACGTGCGAATTTTCCAGGTTGGAGGCTAAGGCCGTTAAGGCGACAGGAGCTGGATGAGCAGGACGGACAAGGAGCACTTCGCCGCCTTCCCAGAGGGAACAATAGGGCGAGGCGTGGGACGGAGCCTCTCGGCCTCCCGGGCGGCCCCAGCTCCTCACCCGTAGCAGGGGGACCGCCACCACAGCTTCCCCCCCCATCTCCCCCCCCATCCTCCCCCTCCCGAGAAGTTGGTAAATACCTTAATCCACTCTCGGAGACGGGGGATTATGCCACAGTTTCCAAGCTGAATTTCACTGAACACTTTTGCCAAGCTACAAGTGTGGGGGGAAAATGGCGGTTAAGGTCCTGCGCTTCTCCATCGCCCCGAGAACTTCCTGCGTGGCTGTACCTCCGTGCCCGGACTGCGGCAGTCGGGACCTGTAAAATGTCCTCTCCCTGCCGGGTAGGGATTTCCACGTAAGAAAACCTGCTCTCGAAAAAAAGGAATACTTGCAAATGGCTCGGATCGCTCCTCTTTATTGAGGCGTTCAGAGAAGGCAAGCCGGGCAGCTGAGAAAATGCTGCCCTCTTCCCTCTTGAAACCTGACTATACAGAGGGACCTTTCTGTGGCTCTTTCAGGGGGTTAAGCGAAGTAGAACATTTTTCAGCTCTCGGGAAAGCGGAGCGCGCCGCAGCCCGCTTTTACCTGAATGTAACTCACTTTGCGCAAGCAGAGTGCTTATGAGGATGGCTTTCCCTTGGGTCTCCTAACTTACTGCTTGCTTGTACTACACTAATATCCTTGATTTGTTGTCTCAACTTAGATGTTGAAGGTCAAATTGTTTCCTTACGTGAAACTGTAATTAGATTATATGAGTGCGTGTGTCTATGCAGATGCACCCCTGTATGTCGACTGTATTTGGTTACAGGATGCGCACCGTTTTCTAAGACCTTATATTTAACCTCTTCTCCCCTTCCCTTTAACGTCAGGTATTTACCCATCCTCTGTGCAAATGTTAGCGGTGCAGGACGTGAGAGCTCCTCATTGATTCTTACAGTGCGGAAAGGACACACTTTAAACGCGGAGCCACGAGTTTTTTCCCACCCACCTTGCCTAAAGTGCATTCATGTGAAATATTTGGAATGCCTCCTTTAATGTGCCTCTGCTCTCAGCCGAGCATGAGACGGGTTGAAGCCCTCCTAAATTTAATCGTGACTAACCGGGGGGGGAACCACAACAAATTAGAAAAATACAAAACCTGAAAGCTTTTACAAATATTGAAAGTCTTTTCGATCACATACGCCATGATGGTGAACTCAGTGGCTTTGTTTGCATTTCATCTTTGAGGTTCGGGCGCATATTTTTGTGATGCCCTGATACTTTTTGACTTTTGGCGGATGGGGGGGGGGGGGGTATTTTCATACTCGGTTGGTGCAGGACGTTGGTATTCCTGGGCAAGCAGGGTTTGGCAGTCTGTTATTATCAGCTACAATTAAGTAGTAAGCATTTCTTCCTGAAGCTATCTGTAGCGTGTTTCCTTGAAAACCTCCTCTATATCGTGTATCATGCCTGGTCCACAAGATCCGAGGTTAAATTTTCACACGAGTCCAGCAACACGATTGTATTTCTATTATGCTTAACGTTACGTATCATATTACCAGACAAATTTAATACCGATTTTATTTCCTTCCATGACTGAATAGGTTCAAATGGAAAGGGAATCCTACACTCACGACAGTGCCGTGCACCGTCCTACTCATCCTCCTGCTGAATCTCTGTCGTTTTGCCCCCCATAACCAATGTATTTTTGAAATGTTATTTTTGCCTTGGCACACGGTATCAGCAAGCCGAGGAACTGGGAAAGAAGGGGGGGGGGGGGATGCGGATCTTCCACGGGACTGTAATCAGTGCAAAAATGGAGTGAATGAGATGTTACCTAGCCAGGTTATGAATAATATTTCCACGTAGACATGGTGGAGTGTGAGAAATAAATTTAACGTAAAATCCTTCCCAGGGATAAATCACTGACCGCTCTTCCTGAAGGACGTTGTGTGCTCAGAAAGAGTACTTGGCCTCTATGTTTTCCTTATCTTGGGGCTTTGTCTCCTTCAGAAACCCCCACATTGAAGATGGGGGTCAAAAAGGGAGGAAAAGCTGCCCTGGCCAGGCGCTCCCGGTGTGGAGCAGGGTGGTCACAGAGCGGCGGCTCCAGGGGAGTTCGGCGGGGAGGACGGGGAAGGGCAGGGCTGGTGGCTCGGCGGCAGGCAGAGGCCGGAGGGGAGCTGCTCTGGGTAGAGAAGCAGTTCCAGGGCCCCAGAGAGGGGCCCAGGGAGTCTGCGAGCTCGGGGTGGGGGGGGTGATGGTTTGCGCTGCTCCTTGCCCTGAGGCCGCCGTCGCTAACGGCTGTGCTCTCCCATTGCCTCCTGCAGGGGAGAAGCCGTTCAAATGTGAATTCGAGGGCTGTGACAGACGCTTCGCCAACAGCAGCGACAGGAAGAAGCACTCTCACGTCCACACCAGCGACAAGCCCTACAACTGCAAAGTGAGAGGCTGCGACAAGTCCTACACCCACCCCAGCTCCCTGAGAAAACACATGAAAGTGCACTGCAAATCCCCTCCTCCCAGCTCCGGCTACGAGTCCTCCACGCCCTCCTTGGTGTCCCCCTCCTCGGACTCCGGCCGGGAGCCCCCCGCCTCCTGTTCCCACGCCGAGCCCTCCGCGCCCGCGCAGCCCGCCGCCAACCTGAGTGAATGGTATGTGTGTCAGGGAGCGGGGCTCCGCGGCCCCCCCGCGCCCCCCGCCGTCCTCCCGCCGTCGCGCCTCCCCGGCCAGCCTCGGCCGCGCTGCTAGGGAGCGCCGCCCGGTGACAGGGAGCGCTGCTCCGGGGCACAGGGAGGCCGAGCAGGAGAGGCCGAGAGGCGTTTGGCAGAGGGAGAGGCGGCGCGCTGCGGAAACCGCGGGTGGGCCGGCGGCGGGCCCCGGCCGGGGCTCCTGGCTCCCCGCTCACGGGAGGGCTGCTCCCGCCTCGGCCGGGGTGCTGCCGCCTCCTCCCTTCGTGCCACACACATACCCCCTCTCTCACTGTCTTGCTCCAGTCTGTTCACGAGTCCACTGATTTGCATTTTCTCCCCCTTTCCCTTTTCCTTTTTCTTTTCCTTTCCTTTTATTTTCCCTTTGCCTTTCCCTTTTCCTTTTCTTTTCCTCTTTCCTTTCAATTTCCATTACCCTTTTCACTTCCCTTTTACTTTCCCTTTTCTTTTCCTCTTTCTTTCCTTTTTCCTTTATCTTTTCCTTTTCCCTTCCCATCCTTTCTCCTTCCCATCCCCCTCTCCTTCCCCCCTCCTTTCTTCTCTCCTTCCCCTCATTTTCCCCCCCAAAGGACCAAAGAGGCTCCATACAGATTTTGGCTGTACAAATTTTCTCCTGTCAACAGTGCCGTGCGCTGCGGTGTTCTGTTCGCCCACGATTTTCTGTGAGATTGTGGATTTTAAAGAAAAAAAGAATATATAAACTATTATTTGTTACCGAATTGTATAAAATGGATCCATTAAATTCTTTGATTCATTAATCCGTTCGATGGACGTTTCTGTAAAGAATCTCCTTGCATTCCTCTCTTGCTGTATATAAATACATATACATATTCCCTCCACCCCCCCCTCCAGTTCCTGCTAATAAAGAAAGGCCCGGGGGGGGGGGGGGGGCGATGATTGACTGTCCATTTTAGCTCCCACTGATAATGGCTTCTAATATCCAAACATGCCCGTCCCCACCCAGAGAGCGGCTCCTGTCGAACAGTGGGCGCTGGAGCTCCCGGGGGGCCGAGAGGGGGTAGAGCCCACTCTGTGACGTCACGGCCGGGGCTGGGCAGCCCCCCGGCAGCGCGGGGACCCGGAGCGGCTGCTGCACGGCGTCTGCCCTGAGAATGGTCCCGATGACAAATGCTTGTACCGGTCCGGCAAAGTCGCTTTACCATCTTCGTCCTGCCCCGGAGCTTCAAACTAGACCCGACATAAACCCAGAGGGTTCACTCCCGTGGTTCAGAGAAAGAAGGAAGGGGGAAAAAGTCCCTAGCAAACCAAAACAAAAAAACAACCCAACAAAAAAAACTCCTCTATTGGGGTAGCTTGAAACTGCCGAATGGTGCCGGTTTAATTACTTTAATGATGTTTAAGAATACCAGATAGTATAGGCAAATAAATAGCATGTGCTGCTGGAAGGTGTTTCCGTGGCTTGCTGAGAGCAGACAGAAGGCGGCTGTGACCGCATCTCCTCGGGCCTGATACATCACCTCTGTGCCCAGGTGACTGGGGCTATTGCGTGTATACAATGTATATACATGCATACGCACACGAGTATGTATGTATCTATAAATATAAAAGGTAGGGGAAAATAAACAGCTGGTCAGTGGCTAAAAACACTCCTGCCCAGCGCTTCCTCCCCTGATGCAGCTTTATTTTCTTTCCATGGCACCATGTCGGGGTTCACTTCTGCGCTCGCCCAAACTCGGCAACTTTTGTATCTGAACCCCTCGGCAAGAACGTGTCGCTGCTGGGAATGCACATAGGGAATTACCTAGGCGAGAGAAATGTGCGAGAGAGGAACCTAAACCAGGGGAGAATTGTGCCCATCTGCAACCCCTGAAACTTCCGTGGTGGAAATCGAGGGGTACAGAATGCAGCTGCGGGCACGGAAGACGCTTCCAGCGTGTCCTGAGATCTGTTTATTTCTTTATTTCTCTATTTACAGAAGTACTTGGAAGTGCAGGCTAATCACCTTTAATTTTTCATTTGCTTGTTACAGATGTCTACCCCGTTGCTCTCAAGGTAATCTAGACAGACGCAGCTGAAAGCCTGAATCTTATGCCTTAGACATCAAAGCAAGCTCGCACAAAGAAGTATTTCTTCACAACGGTGAATCTTCATGGTAAGTTAGGATTTCTATGGCAATAGGCAAGTCATACTTAAATAGTGAAAGGCGAAGTCTGGAGCCCGTCCGTCTTTTCATTAAGGACATAATATTTACGTCTAACAGGCCCTTTTTCTTGTGCATACAAGTATATATTTTTGTTTGACGCGAACTAAATCATTTTCATTTAATTTCCGGTAAACAAAACCCACGCGAACAGGGCACTTGTTCCAGACCATAATAAAAATGGATAAGACTGTCAGGAAGAAAAGGCTCGCTTGAACCGTCGCCTCAGCTCACTTTTGTTTCTGCTTTCTGCCGGGATCAGAGAATGCATTTGGGATTTGAGGGCGAGTTTCTAAAGGCAAGGAAATGGTTTTTAAGGGGGAAAAGAAAAGGAGAAAGGTCTAATCAAGCTCGGGTTGTTCAAAGGGACTGATTTTGGGGTTGAAAGTGTGAGTTTTATGGTGCATCAGCATGCCACGTTAGGATCGCTATGGTAATGAGGAGAGCAATAGCAAGCGGCCTTCAAAGGAGGCACACTCCATTTGAGACAGTCTATTAAGATACATTTGCACTGACCTTTGGTTTCATGCTAGCTTAATACACTCAATCTGCTCCCCGCTAGAGATATACTTCCTCCACCTAATGCACTCCGGCGGAGCCGAGGTTTGCTGAGCTTCGCCCGCCCCTCTAAGCGAGCTCCGCTCCGGCGCGACAGCCCCGCGCTCCTTTCCTCCAGAGCAAGGAAGGGGCTGCCAGACAGGGTTGGGGTGAGCTCCCGTCCACTCTCTCCGGCATTTCTGGCCAGCTTTCCGCAGCAAAACCCTGCCACAAAGACCAAGAAGTGCCCCCTTTTCCAATTCCACCCTAACTCAGGGGAAGATAGGATGGGGGCTGAAGGACCCTTCCTCGGGCTGCCTCGGCCTCAGGAAGTAGGTGAGCTGCTGGAAGCCCTCCACGACCTGGAAAAGAGGGCGTCGGGAAGCTACCGTGCTCCCCTTATGCTCCCTTCCCATCCCTTCGACCCAGCCCGGCCCGGCCGGAGATGCGCGGCGGCCGATGAAGGCACCGCGGTGCGGGGGAACTTGACACCCGCAAGGCCGGGGCCACGGGCGCTGGGCCATGGGCCCGGGAAAGTTAGAAGTCCATGTTCCAGTAATTGTCTTGTTGTTTATTTTATCCAAGTACCCTAGTGAATAGGGGAAAAATAAACACGATGAAAGAAAATTCAAACAGTTGAGTCGTCTTTAGTGCCAGCCCTTGTGGTTGAATAAAAAGGATGGTCCAATTTCTATTGAGCTGAGAAATCTTTGAAGTGGGAGTTATTATCTGAGAAATTCCTGCTCGTAGTCCTAACGACGCTGATGAAACGTAAAAGGTTCTTTGTCAGCGATTTGTTCTCCTCTCTGTCAAACTCACCCTGCCCGTTAGCTTTAAACCGTTTCTAAAGAGATAAAATCAAACTTTTAAAGATAACTTTAGGGGCCCAGAGGGTGCAGAAAATACCAAACTATCGAATCCTGTGTATAGACATACATCTGGATATATGTGGCTGTGGCTGTGTGAAACTCTCCCTCTATACAGATGTCCATAGATGTCTGTATGACCTTACTGTTCGAAAGTTGAAATGATGTCAATTTTTTTACATTTTATCCTCTGAACTTTTCCATCTAATAAATTATTCCTACACATATGCTGCACAGAATGTGATTCTTGGGAGAAGGCAGAAATGTTTGGTTTCATCAACACCAGTATGTGACCAACAAACGTTTTCTTTCCAGTAGAGTGAAAGCAAGAGCGTAGACACAAGAGTAAAGACTTTGATCATTTTAACAGTCCGAATACCTATTAAGCATGTATATACTGCAATGTATTGAAGTTGTTAACGCATTCAAAGAGATGGCTTCCATATGCTCACATGTTTTATTGTCCGTAAATGTAAAAATAGTCAAGCTGCATCCCTTTTGTATCTTCATTTTATAAAGATCATGGTGTGTACTGAAATTACTCCCCGATCAAGGTTTATTTAGTAGTTTCTCTTTGGAAATCATGCAATGCTCTGTTCGTAACATGGATTCCTTGAAGTTGTAACTCATCAGTGTACTTCTGTTTTAGTTGCTACAGAATGTTCTGAGCCCAATCCTGCCATTGTAAGCCACCCCATTAACTTAATGGGACTTTTCCTGAGTAAGGACAGAGTCAAACTGCAGTATAGTGGGTATTATTCTTGTTATTATTATTATTAATTCCGGATCTTGTCATATTTATGGAAAATCTACCATATTCTTTGTGAACTGTACAGGGGAGAAACCTCTGAAATTGTAGCTAGCAAAAAGACCCCACAAAACATTTGCAACGTTGATAATGCTGCATCTCTTTCCAGACTTCTTATATTCCATATTTTCCTTCATCACATGTTTGGTGATGAAGGAATGTTCTGTTGTGTGTTTGAACATGCTATTTATTTTTAATATTTGGATTTTTTTTACAATAAATATTTATAAACGTTTCAATTCTATGGTTATTTTTACAAATGTGCACTTTTAGGTATGTGTTTGTATTGATAATACCGAGCCATTCCTAAAACACTACCTGATCAACCTTGTCTTTCTGTTGGTTTTTATATTAGGTGAAAAAATATTTCCCCAAACCAGTGTACTATTAATGTGTTGTACAATCAGGTACTAATGAGTGGTTTTGTTGGTCTTTAACCTCTTTTAATGTTAATCGTTTTAGGTTGGCATTCACATTAAAAGAACAAAAGGAAACAAACCACATCTTTGGCTTCATTTCTGAGACTATATTTTTCAGATCGGAGTTTCTAAATACCGACCAAGATGCAGAGTGAGAAAACCGAGCCCGGTGACATCCGAGACAGACCCTGTCCTGCTGTTGCCCTTTCACCACCACACACCGGCCCCCCCTCCCCCCGGTTACCTCTGCAGCGGTACCCTGATTCCTGCACCCCCAGTCTGGGGCTCCGGGGTCACTAATACTCTGGATATTGGAGATTTCCTGACGGAGCAGCCCCGAAGGGCTCTGCTCCCCCCGCCCCCAAGGGGTTATTGTTTTGGCAGGGCGGATGAGGGATGAAACTGTTCGTTTGAAGAATTCCCCCCCCCCCCCCCAGAATGAGTCCCTGTCACGGTGACACTTTTTATAAGATTCCTAAGAAGATGTAGAACATTTTATTTATTTTTAAGGGAGAAAAATCATTCGTCAGCTAAAGTAATCTGCATGTAAGTCTTCTTTGCCTTGCATACTCACTTAACCGATTTTAATACATTACAGGGTCTCGCAGCTCCCGAACATGCTCACTGTTTTCTTCGCTTCTGCTTTTAAACCTCAGCTTTGCAATTTAGAAGGATGAAGCAGTCTTGGGCAAACCGCAGCCCCAGCCCCAGCGGGCGCCATGCGCATGCGCGCTGCCTTGACTCCTTTTAAGAAAGGAAAACTTGAAAGAAGTTGACTAACACAGGGAGATGACAAAAAGTTGGCTTTGGCTAGTAGGGATACTGTCAATAAAGAATACATTTGACTACAGAAAGAGAGAGAGAAAGAAATAAAATAATTAAAGAAAGAAAAGAATTCAAGAAAAAGAGCCGAAAGAAAATATTTTTGCTGGTTTGTGAAAAAAAAAAAAACAAAAAAAAAAAACAAAAAAAAAAAAAAAAAAAACAACCAAACCCGCCCGTAAAGGAAAGGAGGGCTAACAGTACATGCTAATTAAGGAATACAATTCTATGGTCTATAATGATTGAGTGAAGACATGTACTTATTACACTTGACTGTCAACAAGGGAAGGAATGTCCCCTCAGACAACATGGTGAGAGACGTGTGGGCATTATTAGTGGTCCTTTTATAGACATTGCCTTTTCTTTCTCAATGCTGACAAACCATTTTGGAGGGAACCATCCCCTGTTGCTTCCTATCATCGATCCCCATGCAAGCCCCTGCATTGTGCAAGTGCATTAATTAAAGACCATTCATTTAACAAAAGAACATTGTATGTTTAGGAAGGGAAGATTAGAAATATGAATCAGTAACCCAGACCCGTTTCCGACGCCTTACAGGGAGAAGTGGACGGGAAAGAGGTGCGGCATGAGATTAGACGCACCGCACCTCCCCAGCCTGAGCAGGGCTCCGTTCCAGTGTAGGATCCTTGGAACAAGAACCCTAAAATGGATTGCAATTGGGGAGGGAAATGAGAAATAGGGCTGTTATCAAGTGTCTCTATGCTGTCAGATCTCTTGGCCCTCCCCTGTACTCCGGCAGCCTGCCCGCTCACAGGGCCGGCATGGCCCGGCCAGCACCTGCCCGCTCCGGGACCCGACCCTCTAAAACAAGGAGCCACCGCGTCCGGGGGAGGTGTGCGTGTGTGCACACATCCCCATGCACATTTGTTACTTCAACAGGGTTTTTCTAGTTGCAAGCAGAGACACACAGGCGTGCGCTCATCCCTCCTGATCCCTTCCCTGTCTTTTTCCAGTCCGAAGGAAAAACCGGCTGGTCCCCCAAAAGCCGGCCTCTAGATGAGAGTGACTTCTCGTGAGAAGGTAGAAGGATTGCACAGGGAAGCGGAGGTTACGCGGGAGTGGGGGGAAGGAGAGATGTTGGATTCCCAGTATCGCCCACATGACTTGCTAAGCTGCTCCAGATTCTCTAAAACCTCTGGGCCATATGTTTGTTTATTTACACCTTTTGTCTTTTTGTGTGTCGCCTGGTTAAAGAATATTCCTGGGATACAAATGAAAGTAAGTTAGAGTAAACAAACAAGGGGAGCGCCTGCTTAAGGGGTACGCAACATTTCTGAGATCCCCAAAGAGCACATCGTTCGCATGGTTATAATGGGGGCAGAATAGCAATTAAAGCTTTTAGTTAAAGGCTCCAGATTTTTAACACATTAACTCCGTTTTCTCGTAGATGATTTAGAGTTTTTTCAAGATTACACTAGGAGAGGAAAAGGAGGGAGGACTACAAAACTCCCAGCAAAACCAATTCTATAACATAAATAAATAAATAAAAGGCCACAACAGATTAAGGTGCTCCTAATGATGACAAGAGATCAGAGAAATCTCTGCAGCTTTCCCGTGAGGCTAAATTTGTTCTCAACTTCTGCACTGGGAGCTGCCCTGCTCCGAGGCGAGGACCGCGCTAGCTCGCCTGGGCTGGGAGACGAGACCCCGCTGCTTCGGCCGCCAGCTCCCGCTCTTGGAAATCCCTGCATCAGCTCATCAGCTTCGTTTTCTTCTTCTTCCACAGCAGCAGTCAATCCCATAGCCAGGCTGAAACACGACGGGCTACGAGGAAATCTTTTCCTAAAATAAACAGGACGCCCTAACAAATAGGCTGATTTTTTTTTTGTTTTAATTATTCTTTGCCTCCAAGCCAATGTTACCTAGAGGAACGGCTCATTACCGCTGCAAAACCTGTCTCTGTGTCACTGTGCTGGTGTGTGCGGAGTGGGGACCGCCCCCCAGGGTGCCCTGCTGAGCACCCGAGCAGCGGTAGCCTGGGTGAACTGAGCGGAGCTGCGCTTCCCACCCCGGTCGAGAACCCTCGGGGATCCTGCCCTCTGCCTGACTCGTTCCTGGCCCGGAGGATACCTGCTCCAGCCCGCCTTGAAAGCCAGACAAAAGCTCGGATCCCCCCCTCCTTCCTTCCCCGTCCTCAACCTCCCTCTCCCCCGCTAAGCTGTTTTGGGAAGACACGCACACAAAAATTTATTCTCCAACTTTTGACTGGTCACTGCTGTCTTGAATTATCCTCTGCCCTGGGGGAGCTATGGTGAAGCAATGGGAGGTCCTTGCTCCACCGCCTGCTCCTGCTAGCGGCTGGGAAACAGGGTGCATCTGAACTTGGTCAGAACTGGGCTGCCCTCACGCAGCCCTCTTCCGCAGCCCCCCGGGGCCAGGGGGCTGGGTTGGGAGTCCCGAGGCAAAGGGGGGAGTGTTGTGTTAAAGGGAGGCTTTAGGG